TTTGTTTATAAACAACTTTTTAACAAATGACGCAATTTTTTTATCCCTGCATTAATTAATCTCATTTCTGTATCCCAAAATATTTATAAAAAAATAATAACGAATAAAATATAAAACTAATTAACTTTTATCGCATAATAAAAATTTAGAGATTAAGTATTTAAACTTTAATGTCGACTTTGTAAAAACTGAGATTAGAAAAAAATTTTGAAACTTTGAACTTGAAAACTTGAACTTTTTGACTTTGAAATATCGAGATAATTTTTTTTCGAACGAAGATTCTTTCTTTCATGTGTCCGGACTCCGGATGATACCAGAAGTTTTTCAAATTATTAACATTATATGTTACAAAAAAAATTATCCTGTGTACATTCCCTAGCGGCAACGTGCGCATGCCGTAACGGCCTAGTGGAGCCCTGTTTTCAACATTAAATTTAAATTATAAATAATGGAGACAGACTTCTGGGAGTCGAGGGTTTTTTGTTGCAAATATCCTCCTTTTTAAGGATGTTTTTGTGATTTTCATTATTTCTTATAGATTCAGAGTTATTTCCGAAAATCTGGAACCCATTTTATTTTTTAGTTTTTTGTTAATAACAATTGCAATTTTTGTTTGCAGGAAAAAACGTCTTTCTCAGAATTATATTCCGAATTGAATGAGCCATAGCTTATATTTTAGGACAATTGGAACGATTTTCTGCAGAAAACTCACTTCTCGACCAGACTAGCTATTTTTTAATATTCATTGATTAAATAGGTTGCAAGTGCTTTAACAAATGTTACGAGTGAGGGTAAAAAATAATAGGCGTTAAGAGTAAATTAGTTTTCTACCCTCACTAACACTAGTAATGTAGCCTTTCTCCCTCTTCGTTTTCGAAACGATTCATTGAAATTGAAAAATGTACCGTGTTATAATATGTACCTATATATAATTTAAAAATAAACGATGTTTGCTTAACGCGAAAAATTATCCTTGCGACACTTTACACAAATCTTAGCTAGAAAATCACTTCAACACCTTAAAATTAGTGTTATGTGTAAAATAATATAACTAATATTTAAATATCAGTGCCTAAGCCCTAAGCTCTAACACCCACATTTTAGGAATTAACGTAGAGAAAAATATTAAGCTTTTTATTGTAATGCACATAAAATAGAATGTCCAAATGAATATGATGATATGATAACATATTATAGATATAACGTATCTCATATGTTGTATTTTTGTTTATTTTATTGTTCTTTTTTATACACCTTATATTATGGGAGATGAAGGGCGTAATTAATGCCTTCATCAATTAACATTCGCTACATTTTTTTTTAAATTTTTGGTATAAATAAATAATAAATTGAATATAAAGTATTAATAATTTATGCTATCTATATATTTCATAATTTCCAATTTATACATTATTTAATAATGGAAGAACACTTCGTTGTTATTATATCGCTACTCACCTCACATTTATATAAAGCTACTTATAAATTTATGCGTACATGACACTTTTTACTTTTGTGAATAAAATAATGGTTTGGCATTATGGTACAACTACTATTATAGTTTATTCTACAATTACAGCATAAATCGTCGGAATAAAATATTTCTAAAAGTACACAATGTAACCAGAACAAAGTGCCTCACAACGCCAATTTCGTTACTTTAGTTACTTATTAAACTTATATTAAAAATACACCGTCATAGTATGAAATGTAGTCTATAGGTAGTTTGAAGTATGAACTATAGTTAAAGTATTTTTCACGTTCAACTTCCGAAAAAAGATTCTACCTTAAACCTGAAACTAATTATAATCTTTTGTATTGAGATTATCAGAAAAAAAAATTATTCGCTTAGTGCAACTAAACGCGAACTGAAAGGAAACCAGCTGGTTATGAAGTTTAAAATTAATAAACAAATAAATCATGTTTGTTGCTGCCACAAAAGCTTTAAATTTAGCTTGCCAGTAAGTTAAAAAATATATTCACCAGAAAATGTTATTAATAGGAATTTTAAACTAAGACTGAAACTACACTGAGCTTTAAAATAAGAATTAAGTTTCACATAATTTGGGGATTCACGTACCTATTGTCAATTTAAGACGTCGCGTAATATTTGGCAGTAATGCTATGGAACATAAATTTATATGAGGCCATGTATTTATTAGGTAACAATTTAGAAAAGTTTTGGTGGCCACTATTACCGCCGGCAGCATTTCTACTCCTGTTGTATTATTTAAATAATGGTTTGAAGTTGATTTTGATACGTAAAAGTGATACGACTTAGTGTATTACAACAGTACGAGTCCGTTACCAACGAAAAAAGACAATTATAAAATGAATAAAAATAAAATTAATTTATTTCAGATAGAGTCCTTTATAAAACATGTTGAGTGTCAAGTGTTTTATACCTTTGTTTGTGTTTTCACTTTTTTGATTATAATGGCGGGGAAGTTAATTTGTTTGGAAAATGTGAAAGTTAATGATTCTTTCTGTAACATTAGTAATATTTAAAATTAATTAGATTGGAAGTTAATAAATCAAACTATGTATATTCCTGAAATTAGGAAATTCAAAAATACTTTGTTACCTAATAAATGCATGGCCTCTTATCTCTAATACTGATAACATTAAGCCGGATTTACACCAGGGCAACATATTTCAACATTGCGGCTAAAACCTAATGATCTTTCTTCTCTTTCTAATCTCTTGAAATCTTTGATTACGGCGGTTTTTGAAATGGGCACCACGTGTTAATATATCGCAAGTCAAATGTGTGCGTCAATAATCTTGTCTGATGATATAAATAAAGTTGCTTCATGCCGCATATTTTACAGTGAAAGCAACGAAACAAGCATGCCATGTTATAATGCAGAGATGGCGATCTTTTGATATTGATGCGAAGTGGGTCATATTTCATTTATTATTTTTTGAGCCATCGTCGGTCACTTAATAGCGCCCACTTGAAAAAGGGTCGAGGAGGATGTGTTTACTATAATTATTAAATAACTTTTTTTTTGGTACTCACTTATAAAATCCTCTAAAAACTTGAGTTACTTTTTATTTTTTTAATTTGATTAGTTTTTAAACCTACTTACTTCATTTATTTAATTTTTTTCGTATTCTCTTTTATGATATAAAAATAATTTTATTCAAATTAACGCGTGGGTCATTGGAAAAGCTCGGGTCAATCAGTGCCTGACCCTCGGTTCATAGCTTTGCCAAAACTGTTATATAGTATGTAATAACACGGCGTAAATTCAGCTTAAGAAATCGAATTAAATTGTTGGGAGGAGAAGGGGTATCGTTTATCAGCATAAAAGTAACAGTGTAGCTTCAGCCTAAAATAATCTAATGGTAAGTGTTCTCGAAGTATTAAGTTATTGTAGCTTATGGTATATAACGCTACGAAAAGTGATTTACACAAATGTTGAGTTGTAAAATGGTGTTACAATGTGTTGCTAGTCAAATTTTTTACCAAATGTAATTTAGTGTTATTAACATAGTTGTAGATACATGAAAAAAAAATTGTATTAACGTAAAGAGCTGAGGGCATCGTGGGTATGGGTTCTTCTTTTGGGAGAAATCTTTTGTTTCATATTCTAGTAAGTTCCTACCACTACATGGTCGTCCAACATGCTAACAATGAAATGTTGATTGATTCGCATGATATGGATGGGTCAGAGTAGACTGGCGTCGATTAAACGACTAGATGATGGGAGTTCGCGAACTTAAGATGCAAAAGAACTAGTTCACTTGCTATTGAATCTATTTCTATCTGTCGTTCACAAGCTCTAAAAGACGTGTATTAGTGTATCTGAATGTATTACCAAATAATTTCATTTTATTTACAATATTTATTAGTATTCATTTTATTTACAAGGCACTCTGTGTAAAAAATGAATATTAGAATGTAATATTAATATTATGTAATATTTATTTTAATTGCAGAGATCAATTACATGTTATGATTTTGAGTTATTACAGAGTGAACAAAAAGGAAAACAGGACACCGCCTGTTGCGCTCTCTGTCGCACTTACGGGCCTTAACGACAGGCCTGCCGTAAGGCCCGTAAGTGCGACAGAGTATATTGATCAAAAGACAATCTCTCTATTCATCAGTCTAAATTCGAAGTCACAAGTTCATCAACTTGCAGATACTGGCTACAGCACAGTACGCTTGGCTGGCTTACGTTCATTCTTAATTCCTTAAAAAAAAAGTAGAATGAACTAACACTACATAAAACATATATGTGAAAAATGGTCTTAAATGATGGACTGTATGAAGTTTGCCATATATCTGACAATTGGTTTTCAGATCAAACGAAAAACGTTTGTTCAAACATTTGGGAGTGGGACGATTGTGTAGTCCAGTGTGTCAAGTGTTATTCGACTGCTGTTGGTAGGTATTTAACATGGTCGACCAGTAACCAGTTTAACCAACTTTGCTACGGTTATAGCACGATATTGGAATTTGTGAAGTAAATTTTTTATTTGTTTTGCATTGTGCTAATTGCATTTTCCCCCAAAAATGTCTGTAATGCCATAATGTATGAGTATTTACATTCAAATAATATACAGTATACTGTCATAGATGGCTATTACTTTTTAATCTGTTATTGCAATGTACATGTTGTTTAATCTATGGACCTGTGTTGTCATTTATTATTGTTAAATTACCACCAATTTAGGTGTATGTATATGGGTTGTTTATATTCTCTATATTTCATAAAATTATTTAATTAACTTTACTATTGTAATTATATCTATTTCTAATAGAACAAATTATTAAATCTAAATCCTTTATTCCAGTAACGATTTGTACAAGAACATATTAAATATTGTTCTTTGAACCTTACGTGTTTTAATTAAATGCCTGAATGTACAAAATGAAAAGATTTCAATAAAAATGCGTGTTTTATATGAATTAAATAATTATTTGTACAATAACACAAAACAACAGTAATTAACTAAACAAATTGTCTACAGGAGTTGTCCATAATAAACTATGTATCCCTTAGTTGCACATGATTCTGTTTACTTGAAGCCCTTACCTGAAAATCAAAGTTTGAAAATAATTCTTGACATCTATAAAATTAAAATTACACACATTGCTACAGCCAACCAACAGCAGCTTTTTAATAGAAGTAAGGGTGCTAACGAGCACAGTCCATTTGATGATTATTGAATGTTGTGGTCATTAAACACCTACGTTTATTCTCAATTAAATATTAATGCAGATACATTGTCAGCCCTGACGACTAAAATGAATGTCTCTTGATTATTTTTTGCCACTTTCAGTAAAAAATCTGGTTCTCTACATCACCATACGAGACAAGAGTGGATGCTTGCTTTAATTAAAATAAAGCAAAAGCAACTTAATTTCGATCCCAGCACCAATAAATTAGTAATATTAATTATTTATTGCAAAGTGAAAGACTACATATGTATGGAAACCTGACATTTGATCTTTCAGGCTTGCAACAGGTATCATCGCCTGTTAGTACTAGTACTATATGCCCAGGTTGATTTTTGGTTTTATATGTGGTAGAGTGACACTGCAGCTATATTATGGTTGTAGCATAAATGGGTCGGTTCGACCGGGGAAGTACCACACTCACAGAATACCAGCATAAAATAGCAGCTTAATGTTGCTGTGTTTTGTATGGTGAGTGTAGAGAACCAGAGAACCTTTTTTTACTGGAAACGAGGCATTCCTTAGTCCTCAGGGGTGACAACGCATCTGCATTTTGATTCTTAATCGAGGATAAATGTAGATGTCCGAGCCACAGCTTTCACTTACCATCAGGTGGACTGTGTGCTCGTTTGTCATCCTTGTTGAATAGCAATACTTGCATCGCTGGTCTGAAGGGTATACAGTCAGTATAAATGTATATATATACATATATCCCAGCAGCATGTAGCTAAGGCTTATAGCACACACAGCATGAAGTGTTGGGTGCTTGATTAAATACTATACAAGCTAAGTTGAATTTCCGATAGCGGAAACACTACCGAAATTGTTATTTGCTATCTCTCAAGTGTTGATTTTTAAAAAAAATTGAGTTTATATTAATATTTCAAGACAATAAAATATATTCTTTATCATACATTATCCCATTAATTTTTGAGATGCTTGTGTAATCAGGCTTACTACAATACTTTACCTCTGAATAAATAAAAATAGAATAGAATAGAACAATTTTTATTCAATATAGATTACATGTTGTAATTCTTATTGAAAGTCAGTTTTTACTTTACCACTGGTTTGAAAAAACCTCTGTCCAAAAACCAGCAAGAAACCGAGTGGAACTTATTTTTAAAAATAATTTTACGATGTCCAATGGTCACAAAATTGTTACGAAATTTTAGAAACAGCTTGGAAGTGATACCTCATTCCCAGGGGTTATTATCAACGGTTATTATCAATAATAACGCTTTTTAAATTGTTTTTGTTTAATTAAACATTTAAACTTGGTAATAGAGAGACCTTGTATATTTTCTGGGACTTTGTTGTAATAGTGTATACATGTCCCCAAGAATAAATTACTGACTATGAAGTTGAGAAACTGCTATGTCTAGCTTGTGTTTGTTCCTAGTGTTTACAGAGTGGTATGTATGTTCACAAAAACAAAGGTAGTTTTTTACTAAAACTACCTTTGGTTTTGTGAATATACATTAAATTTTCGTAGATATACTGAGAGACCAAATTTAATATATTTATTTCTTTAAATTTTTCTCCAAGAGACTCGGTTTAGGGTTGTAAATAGCTCTTATGGCCCTCTTCTGCAAAACAAAAATAGTTTCTAAATCACCCACATTTCCCCATAGCAAAATCCCATATGACATTATGCTATGGAAATAACTAAAAAAAACTAATCTAACTGTCTTGACACTAGTGAGATCTACTAATCTTTTTAACAGCATAAGCTGCAAAGCTTAGTCTGCTTGCTAGTTTAGATATATGTGGGACTCAGTTCTTCCCCATTTAAAAACACATTGGTATTCGGATTTTTAACATTTCTTGCTATAAATTTAATATGTTTAGTTTTATTGCCATTTAAATGTAGATTATTAATGTTAAACCAATGCACTAATTTTGACATAGCATTATTCACTTTGTTACATTTAAATGATTGATGTTTAAGTTTAAAAATCAAGGAAGTGTCATCAGCAAATAATACAATAAATAATATAATTATCATGATTATCCCCTATAAGAGAAGGTAAACCATTATTATACACAAAATACAAATACTTTAATTACCTGATTTTGGACAACCCCTAAACATTTTGTTTCTTTTTGGGATTTAAGTCATTTTCACAGTTTGCATATGCTAGCCCTATACCCATGCCCATGCCCGCAATAATTGGCCATCTCCGTCGACCTAGAAATAGCAATGAAGAAAGTGCTCCAAGTGCAACACCGCCGCCTGAAATTATAATTGCATAAAGTTAAAAATTTAAAATATTTTTCATATATAAGAGTGACAAAAAAGCACCTAATAATCCACCTTACGGGGTGGTATACTCTCAGTGGCGAAGCTTCCATTAAAGCCGAAAACCCAGGCTTGCCTTATTAAACCTGAATCAATCAACAATATCAACTAATAAAATAACTCGTAAAATGTTTCAAGCTATTTCAAATTTCTCGCGCACTCCACTTTTCGACACATGTCGACCGATGACCTTTTATTGCCTTAGCGATACTGCTGCTGTCGTATAAAAAATGAGTTTTAATAGAGCTAATAGTGTCTCCCTCGCTCGCGTGAGCTTTTTACGGGGCTTTCGAGAAGACGATCGCTCTCTTTCTAACCTATGGCAAAATATTCTATAATGAAATATAACTACGATTGTATATATAGCAATTAGTATAGAGATTTAAAGCCAGGCTTTTGGGAATAAATTTGTTAAAAGCGGAGGCGCGCGGGCAATACGTTTGCAAGTTCATTTCACGTTTCAATGTTTATTTACTCTGTGTGCTTATCTTGCGTAAGCAGTAAGTAATATTAAAATTACAAGTTCAAAATTTATACTTTTTTAAAGATTTTTAATGAAAATGGAGGATAATAGTGTTCCTTGTGATGAATTGAAGTGTGTTAAAGTGATAATCGGAGAGGAAATCTTTAAACTTTGTTGAGATAATACACAAGGTTAAGAGTGTATTTCAGACTTATCAATTATCGCAATTAAAAACAGTTATTGGTACAATTAAAACATTAACCAACATTTTACGTGGACGTAATTAAATCTTTCCATAAGAAAGCGAGACGATTCCACTTATCTTATCTCTTCTTATCCATTAGAATGTAAATAATTTGTTTTTTTTTTTTTAATTTTGTACATAGTTTGTTTGTACTTTGTTCGTGTTTTACTTTTGTTCATGTATTGTATTGGATGTAAATATTTTTTTTCTTTCGCTTAAACAAACCCAAACGGCTTTTTTCAAAGCCACCGAAGCTATGCAATTACTGATATGTAATACAATCTATCTAGCAGTGGTATGCCTTCTGTGTGCTTTGTTAAACACGTCCTTGACAGCACTGAATATGAAACTGAAGCGTGGAGACAGATCAAGATTGGTGTATTTTTATAAAACTGCTAAAAACAACAATCTATATTTTTATCAATTTATATCTTGGTCTTGCCCTAGCTTGGAGCTCTAGCTTCGCCACTGTATACTCTACTATATAATATAGCATCTTACTATATTAGAGATCTGAATACTATAATTCAAAAAAAAATAGTGGATGAAACAAATATATTTTAATATAGGCTGACTAATGGTGTAAGGGTGGTTAAAAATTTCAAATTAATTCCAAGTAAGCCTTGAGAATATTTAATATAAAAAAGATAGCAACTCTGGCTGTAGTCCAGATAGAGGCACTGACATCCTTGAGGAACATGATAAAATATGCATTAGTTAAAAACTGTGAGAGTGTAATCCTTTCCCAGTTGTGCTGACCCATTGTGCTTCTGTTATAATACATCTGCAGTATGGCAATACATTAAAGTAAAAAATATTTCAAAAAAATAGCCTCCAAAACCATTTATCTATGGCCAAATTTGTAGTAAACAATTGATCTTTAAAACAATTTAAAAAAAATTACAATCTACATGAAGTATAAGCCTATGAAAACATCTGGGTAACCGCCAAAGATGGAGGCTAACTACACTACAGTGTTAGAGAACAACAGGAAATCAGTAAATAGATATATATCTTACTATGTATGAATTAGACACTTAAGAAGAATAACATCTATTACTATACAGGGTTATTTTGCAATAACCTGCCAAATTTGCAGAGGTTCAGAGTGAAGAAAAATTAAAGTAAAAAAAACTCAAATATTCTGCCATTTTTATAATTTAAATTCAAAATGCATAGCAATGCATTACTTTAACTGATTTTACTATGTACGCAAACATTCGTAAAGGTCAATCGATAGGCAAAAACATGTTAATTCCATAAATCACATTCAACTTGGGATAATTTTAAATAAAAGTAGAATATACTAATACTAAAAATGCAGCACGGTAGAGCCATGCTGCAGTTATATTAATAATATAGTCGTAGCACGAATGGGACCGGGGAAGGACCATGCTCTCACAGAATACCAGCGTGAAATAGTAATGTAATGCTGCTGTATTTCGTATGGTGAGTGTAGAGAACTGGAAACCCTTTTTACTGGAAACGAGGCATTCCATCTTAGTCCTCACGGGTGGCAACGCATCTGCATTTTGATTTGTAATCGAGGATAGATGTTGATGTCTGTGAGCCTCAGCAACCACTTACCATCAGGTGGACTGTGTGCACGTTTATCACCCTATCTTATAAAAAAAGCCTTATTTATCCATATTTACAAAAACTGCAACAACGGTATATCATAATTTATATATTTGAACTTGTTTAATTTTTTTTTTCTTTTTTTTTTTTTTTTTTTTTTTTTTTTTTTTTTTTTTTTTTTTTTTTTTTTTTTTTTTTTTTTTTTTTTTTTTTTTCTTTTTTTTTTTTTTTTTTTTTTTTGTATTTTTTTTAATATAAATTTTTTTTTTTTTTTAAACAACCAGAATAATTTGGCTACTCCGCAAAATAACCCTGTACTTAGTTATGATGAACAGAATAACTGGACTTATAGTGTTACCCTTCACCCCAACCAAGTTGGACAGGCAGAGGTTCTCATTCAATATAGGTTTATTGTGGTGTGACAGTCATATCACCTGCCTTTTACTGAACATTTTGACTTTGTATTTGAAAAGATAAATAAATGTATGAAGAGGTGATAGCAGGGATCCCCTACCCCCAGCAAAAGGGTTTTTAAAATAGAACAGATTATATAAAATATGCATGCATTATGCAAAAGCTTTACGAACTCAAAATGAACTGAACAGTAATCAACTTGTAAGTTAAGTAAAAGGCGAATCCCTACTAGCAGAAGTGGAAACCTGGTACGATACGCAGAAAGTCAAAAGACACATGGTGACTCATTGTCTTCCTTGGGGGAAGACAATAATGTTCAGCACCTTGCGTCCTAAATGTTTGGATTTTCAATTTGTTATATATCTAATTTTGGCTGCTTACCAGTTTTGATAATTCCGTCTGTAAGACACATATCCAACTTTGCCGAATAATCATCTTCGACTGCATCCTTGTTTTTCTGCGTCATTTTTGTTAATTAATACAAATAAATTGAACGTTTCGTTTTATAGTTCTTTGAAATTTCTAACTAATAATATACTGAACACTTTCTATCAAAATAATTTATAGATTACACCAAGAGGCCTTTTACATAATTCTGGTTCAAAAAATCACACTACGACCACTAAATCTCAAAACTGACGTATAGTGCTTGCTGCTTGTCAAATAAGGGATGGCGATTTGTAGTCGATTAATCGAAGGTTCGTTTTGGGCAATAAAAATTGATTGAACCCGTAAATCTCACACAATCTTATCTAGTGATCGGCGTAGGTAGTGCTTTAGTACTCTTATTAGTTTGTGGTAGTGCTATTTTGGGTCAATGAACTTGAATGATTATGTTAATATGGACATGCACGGGATTCCTGGGAATATTTTTCAGAATGTCGATGTATTAAATGAAGTTAAACTAATTAAGATATCACGAGTACGCACGACGACATATCAAACTACTCATTTACAGTAAAAGCTGGTCCCGCACGATTCTGTGTGCCACATTACTAGTCAATAGGCGGGATTTGCTTTTACTGGAAATGGGTAGCTTGATATGTCTTCGTGTGTACAACTACAATGACTTTTAAATTGCTCGACAATGTGAAATATATTCGTATTTTACAAATCGTAAGAAACCACCTTGTTTGTAGTTCGTTCGTTCATATGTAGTATAAAAGTTGAGGAACTGAATCTTATTATATCAACATTTTTTATTATAATAATTCGTGAAATATGAAGATAATTACATGATAAAGATAAAACCAAAACACAGAAATATTTATTTGCGAATATTGTAAATTAACAACATTTGTTCATAGAAACAAAAAGTGAAGTAGACTTGCGTCACAGTTAACTTAATTCTCTGGTTAACTTAGTTTGGACTGAGATTTGATAGCTCAAATACCAGATGTTTTTGAAACGCTCCCGAAAACGAAGACAGACGATAGTACTAACGATAACTTTGAGCATGGGTCAGAAAGAAAAACGATCCCGATGAAAAAATCATCTTTTCACAAAGTTTTATTAGCATCATGTTAGTACAGTTAAATGAAACGATAATTTTATAAAAAATAATCGTAAAACTAGCAGTGGCACTTAAAATAAAACCAGTTGACTATATGGTCAATATTCGCGCTGACCCCGAACTCCTCTATCTAGCTCGGTACGAAACAATAAATTAGGTATTACTGTACTGCACTAACGCTCCCTCTACCTTTCCATTTCACACACACTTCGGAAAACTCGCTCGAGGAGTTTTACCTGATATTCAATTTTGAGCATAAGTTAACTCTAGTTACAACAAAGGCATTTAGTAAAAACTAGTTTTGACTAGGGAAAACGCGTTGTATCTAAAATCGGGTTTAAACTGTAACAATTAAATTTTAATTTTTGTTTCACGGATTTAGTTAAACTCCAATTAATTACAGCCCTAATCTCATCTAATATTTCAAATGATTCAACTATGAATAATTCCGACTTTTCTAACGTTGGAATTGCGAATTCAATTGATCCAAAATATTCATCAATATAATATCTCAAATCATTTTCAATATATAGTTTTTGGTACATTGATAGAATATTGTATTGTTGCGCAAATAAAACAAATACCTTTTATAAAATAATAATTTTGTAATCCATACCTTTTAAGAACTAGAAACCTGCAAACAACTTTAAAATAAAACTGATAATATCTGTAAAAGTAGAATTGCACTGATTCATTTACAATTAAATACTTTGATTTAAAATGAATTGATACGTTTAATTTTTATATTGAGCCGAGCACACGACGGATTAAAGAAGAATACAGGTCCCAGCGAAAATTTCAACCGAATCACGGTATCAAATCGTAGTCCAATAATTTTTCTCTAAGCACACCTCAATTTTGCGCAAAGCGCAAACTTGTCCGCGGTGAACCAGCTTTTATTTTACATATATAGAAAGTTAAACTAATGTAGAATCTCGAAAAACTCGTAAACATTCCTTATATTAGATTATATTGACTGAGTAAAGTGAAACGATGACTTTAGTGAACACTAAAATATTTGCATAAAGCTGAATACATGTTTTTTACATACGAACTCCTAAAATAGTTTAAAAAACTAAATAAGTTTAATAAAATAAATGAATAATATATTTCACGGGATTCAGAAGGCATATAAATGTAAATAACGGTCACTAAATCCCCGAGAATAGCCTAACTACATGTCTGAACTAACTGCGCTGATCACAAATCATTACAGACAATGCAAAAATCAAGATTGCATTGATTTTGTTTCGGTAAACATGTTACTATACCATATTTATAATATTCCCAATGGATTACGTGCAGAGCCGTAGAAGTAAAAGAGAAGATCTCCCACCGGGCAAAGTGATCGGCCTGGGGAGTGGCCAACCCTCCGTGTGGTATAGTTCGGAGATACTTTATATTTACTGTTTTACTTCGGAACTTTGATAGCGCGAATTAGACCTTAATGTACTTCGCTTGTGGCACGACAACAGCACCACTACATCACCCCCTGCTCAGACCGGAGGTCAATAGTGTAATCCAATTGCCGACAGGTTCTTAATGCTGGTGGGGAATGCATGTTGTGTGCGTAAGATCAAATGCCGGAGATTGTCTTGAAGTCTGCTGTGAGTGGAGAAGAAGGCAAGTATTCTACGAGAGTGTCGTGAAGCAGAGGTAAGCATTAAGGCTCACAGCCATGCCTAATACTGTAGCAAGAGAGTAGCTTGAAGAAACTGGTAACATTATTCCAGTGCTGCGATGAACCTCATAAAGCTAGATGGCTTGCAGGATATTTAAGACTGCAGAAAATATTTGTTTTGGGGTGATTGGATGGGTTATTTGAGAACAATGATGAACATTTGAAAGTTGAGGTTTCCGATGGTTGCATATGTTGCGTATTAGAGTCACGTTTGGGCAAGGTCACCACTTTGACTATAGAAGAAAAAGGGGAGATCTCCTACCGGGCAAGGTGATCGGCCCGTATAGCAGCCAACGCTCCGTGTGGCATATTTTGGAACTATATTACATTTACAACTATACTCCAGAACTTTAATAACGCGAATTAGACTTCAATGTGTTTCGCTTGTGGCGCGACGACAGCGCCGCCATACGTGCATACAAACTTACGTACATAAGTTTGTCTGGTCAGACTTTTGTTGATTGACAGCTTGAACATGAAATGTAGGTATCATAACTATTTTATTTAACAGTAATTATGAGTGCATATTTATTGAAATATTAAAAATAACTTTACATTAACTATAGGTATAACAAGGCGACAAAATATGTAAGCTATGGTTTATTCAGTAGTCAATTATAATTTTTTTAAATATTCTGTAAATTTTGATTTGTAAAAGGATTTTTTAGAAAAAGATATTTTACACCTCTATATTTTTTCTGAATCGATTATTTTGGATTTCAATTCTTATCGCTTGTCAAATCGGTCCTTGTCAGGTGAAAACATCCCTAGATATAGTGACAAACGTCTATTTTGACACTGACGTACGCGGCTTATGTCATTTTTTTATTAATTGGGTTTACAGCTCTGGGTTCTAGCCCTTCTGACTATCATTTCTTTCGGAATCTTCATTTTTATATTTTTTTTTCTTCATAATTTACTGATGCGTCACATTGCAAAGCCCTTGGAATATTTTGATGACAGATCAACCCAGCGGAGAGTTGATGACGACAGCCACTCAAGTTCATAAGGCGCCCAAGCGATATCAAAGCACTTGTTTCGTCGTTTTATCTAATAGTTCACACGCGCGGATACTTAATTCCACAAAATCGCATCACTTTACGAATCAAAATCGACTTCAAACTGTGACGGCGCTGTCGTCACACCGCAAGCGAACACACCGAAGCCTAAATCACGGTATCAATATTCCGAATCATAAACAGTATATATAGAACATCTCCGAACTATCACACGGAGTGTTGGCCGCTCCCCGGGCAGAACACCTTACCCGGCGGGAGATCTCCCCTTTTCCTTCCACGGCCACAGTGGTGACCCCGACGTGATCTGAACACACAACCAACAACCTTCGGAAACTACAAGCTTCATTATCGTTATAGAATACCCCACCCATTCGTTCCCGAGCAGATATCGTCTGCAGTCTTCATATCCTGCAAGCCATCTAGCTTCGTAAGGTTCATCGCAGCACTGGAATAATAATGCTTCCTGTTCCTTCAAGCTACTCTCTGCGCTATACAGTGTTCAGCACGGCTCTGAGCCTTACTGCTCGCCTCTGCTTCACGGCACTCTCGCAGATTACTTGCCTTCTTCTCGACTCACCGCAGACTACAAGGCAATCTCCTGGCACTTGCACATTCGTCGGCAACGAGGCTGCACTATCGACCTCCGGTCTGAGCAGGGGGGTGATGTGGCGGCGTGGCAATGTGGTGCACCTGAGGTTGAAGAGTGACTTCGTTGACCTTATCTGCCAATCATCATCATCATTACAGCCCTTCACAAGTCCACTGCTGAACATAGGCGTCCCCCAAGGTATGCCACAAAGCACGATCCTGAGCCACCTGCATCCATCGAATTCCTGCATGTCTTACCAGGACGTCACTCCATCTAGTGGGGGGTCGGCCCACACTTCGCCTACCGGTACGAGGCTGCCACTCGAGAACCTTTTTTCCCCAACGTTTGTCGGTTCTTCGAGCTATATGGCCGGCCCATTTCCACTTCAGCTTACTAATCCGTTGGGCTATGTCGGTCACTCTGGTTCTACTGCGGATATCCTCATTTCTAAGTTTATCACGCAGAGAAACTCCGAGCATAGCTCTCTCCATAGCTTGCTGAGCGACTTTGAGCGTCCTCATACGGCCAGCAGTGAAGGACCACGTCTTGGATCCGTAAGTCATCACTGGCAACACGCACTGGTTGTACAACTTAGTTTTCAGGTTTTGAGGTATACCTGACGAGAAGATGCATCGTAATTTCTCGAACGCTGCCCAGCCGAGTT